GTAAAAAAAAAAAAAGATATTTGCAGCATTTTAAAGATTTTTGATTCTAGGAAATGCAGATTCTATGAAACTTAATGTGCTAAGCTATGGTTTGTTTAAAGTACAATGACTGGGTCTACCCATAGTAGTAAGTGATTATAGTTGCTTATATTTTAACAATATAGAAAATACAACAAATAAATACTACATTTTCCAAAAGATCATAATCAGATCAGATTCTTGTATAAATTGTTGAGATCTACATATAAGGTTGATATAAACAAGTATTGTAGTAGTACTTGGTAGTATTTTATTTTTAATCTGCCCTTTTAATATGAATTCTTATTTTAAGAAGTGTGGAATTAATCAGGGTTGTGGCTAATGTTTCTTTTCTCTATTCTCCTGGGGAATGATATAATTAAGACTAGCTTTTGAAATAAATGCTAGACAATTCTGCTGAATTTATTTTTAATAGTATGTATATAAGATATGAATTGGGGCATAAAATCCACATCAAAATACAATTAGAATTAGAATACACAATGCCAACTGCATTGCAATTCCCCATGTGAATTTTAGTTCCCAGAATTCCCCAGCCAGCCTGGTCATGACTGAGAATTCTCAAAATTGAATTTCATACATCTGGAAAATGCCCATGTTGTAAAAACACGTGGGTAGAGCATTTTATTTTTGTATTTTTTTAAAGAAGAGATTGACAACCATTTGTCTGAAATGGTATAGGGTCTCCTGCTTGAGCAGAGGGTTAGACTAGAAGACCTCCAAGGTCTCTCCCAACTCTGTTATTCTGTTGTCATCAGTAATTTTTTGCAGACTCTTGTCTGTAATCAAATTTCCCAGCTAGTTCTGGAATTTTAGCATTGAGAATAGTTTATCTTTCCATTCCCAAGAAGCCAGCCAAACTGGGACAAACTTTGAGGAGCTGAAAGAAGCTGAACTATTTAATGATAAATTAATAGAAAGGGGGAGTATGAAATCATGTGGCAGAATAATAGAAATAAATAGGAAATGGGAATACACATCAGAGACAAAGGAAATTCTTGCATCTTCAGAGTACAATGCATATAAGAATGTGTGTCTCATTGTCAGAGCCAATTAAATAGAAGGCCCTGTTGTTCTCATATGGAATTTTGAGGTCTGTCTTGCATTTTTGTGTAAAAACTAATCCCATTTCAAAATTCCAGAAAGCATGTCAAAAAAATACCAGTGGAGTCAAGTTTTCCATCCACCACTTTATGGAACAATTTCAGTGTATATTTTATATTTTCAACCTGAAAAAAGAGGGCCAAGTTTGCTGTAACAGGAACAAACTGGACTTACTGGAGAAGTAAAATACTTAAATCTCTAGAAAAGTAAATGGTTCAGTATCCATCCTGAAAACAATAGTATGGTACATGTGACACTGATGATGATGAATGGTCAGGGTTGGGGGTTCAGAGAGAAATATGAGAAATCTCAGAATCAAGCATGCTTTTTCAGAATTAAAAGAAGATGCTGCTACTGCAAACCTCTGTGTTTTCATGTTCTTTGGATGTCCAAAAAAAGGCAGAAAAACGTTTTTCATTTAATTAGTCTATAAATTATTCATAGTGATCTCCTCTCTCCGGCTGGAAGAAGATGGTGGTTCTATCTGATTCCCTGAGATTCTGCTTGGACGTTCTAATTACTATGAATATTTCCATGGGTCAGTCTTGTGCATATGGTTGTATCAGTATGGTTGTATCAGCACATGAATCGAATTACAGCATCATTGGGATCCTTGCTCAGTGGTGGAATTTTATGTTAGTTCCATAGTCAGTCAGTCTTTGGACATATAATTGGGGAATAAAGTGTTCTTAAGTTTCTGGAAACGTTAGTTTCATTAGCATAGTAAGTAATCCTTTATCAGAGAAGAGTGTGTATATATAGATATATTATTTTATTTTTATCCTTTAAAATCCTAATAAGTAACTCAAGGCAGTAAACATGCATAATACTCCTTCCTTCTCCTTTTTCCCCACAAGAACAACCCTGTGAGATAGGTTGGGTTGAGAGAGGGAGAGAGAGTGCCAAGCCCTGTCAAGTAGCATAACAATCCCCAAACTTTACGGCCTGGTGGGGGCGGAGACAGGAACCGGCCAGCATAAGCAAGTTGAGCTGTATGTATGCGCGCTGATCCACCCCTCGTACAAGTCGAGCTGCATGCATGTGTGCTGGCCTGCCAGTTGTGCAAGTTGAGCTGCATGCACGCATGCACTTGTGTGTCCCAGTTCTGAATGTGCCATGGCCAGTAGTGGGCTGCAGCCTGGGGGTTGGAACCCCCAACCTAGCAGGCTTTCGTGCCCTCTATATCTTTTGTATAGCTTCTTATATTTAGATATCTTGTTATATGCCCCATAGGTAGTTTTCTATATTATGTGGGTGAACTTGAGCCCAGTTATTTTGCTTCATAGATTATAATGTTCAAAGGTACTTTGAACAATTTATGAGAAGTGATCCTTGGGGAGTCATACAGATGCAAAATACAAATTGTGACAGATGTTGTAAAATTAAGGTAAGATTACCATAAATGTATCTATCTTGCCCAAATTAATTCAGTGAGCTTTGTTATTATTTCAAGGAGATGTCTAGATGAAAAAAATGTGTCCGTTGCAGAGGTCTGTCAAAATGGAATTTGTTAGATCAAGATTTTACTGTCATAGCAAGCACACAGCTAGGCAAATTGGACTGGACTTTGGGCACTTGGGGAGAAAATGGTGATTTCTAAATCTTTCCCATTTCCAAGACAGTAAAGCAAACATAGGCTTCAAAGCAGCTTTCCTCAACCTGGCTAGAACCAGCTAGAGTCATGGGAGTTGTAGTCCAACATGTCTAGAGGACATATTGTTGGGGAAGGCTAAATTAAATGAAGAATAAAAATAAGAATAAAAATTTAGGCTTACTGCATTAATATCACATTGTACTTTACAATGTGTATCACATTGTATTTTAAATGGATTTTTTTCACTTTTTTAAAGCACCAAATCTACTATATTGTACAGGAAATGAGAATGGCATACAATGGCAGACTTTTGAAAACAACGATAGCTTTAATGCCTATATTTTTAATAGCTCTTTCTATTCTTGGTTGTCAGTAAAACCTGCAGTTCATTCATGGCTGAAGCTGAGATTTTCAAGTGCTAAAACCAATTAACCTCCAGGCGTTGGAATGTTATATTAATGTTTCACTACTCTTTCAGTGTTATGAGATTTGAAGACTTCATTACCCAGATGGAAACCATTTAAGAAGTGCACATCTAAATTAGTCCAAAACTCTTGTTTTTGGAAAATAGATGAATAAAATTGGATAAATCTGTATGCGCAGGAGTAAGCCATCACAAATTGACAGCAGTACTGGACTACACTATGAAGCTATGTTAAGCAAAACATTTTATGTGATTCAGAGTTTAGTTTGGATGGTCATTCATCAACATTTAAACTGTTAGTCTGACTACTCTCCCATTTGGCTTTCCATGGAGGCATCTTTGAAATGCCCATGAAGGTCCTTAGAGAAACTCATGCTCTGTTTCTTTTGACACAGTTCTTGGGATTATGTTTTTCATCTAAGGATTTAGTTACCTGTGTATTAATTTGCTAGGGGTTTATATGCTACTCTAATTAAAATGTCCCAGTATGCATTAATATAAAAGGGAATGTGTATACTTTGGAAGCAATTAATCTCTTTCTAATGCCCCCTTGATCGTGCTATGGCATGATTTTTTAATATAGAATCATGGAATCATAGAGCTGGAAAGGACCATGGAGATCTTCTAGTCCAATCCCCTGAGATGGCCCACCAGGACACTTAGTACCCTCTCATAGATACTACTGTTGAGCCAGGTACCACCTATTCTGTACCTGTGCATTTGGTTTCTCCTGCCTCCGTGCAGATCTTACTTTTCTTACCACTGAACTGCATCTTTTGGATAGGGCCCAATGCTCAAGTCTGTGAAGAACCTTCTGACTCTTGAGCCTCTCTTACAGTTTGGTGTCATCTGCAAATTTGATGAATGCCACTTCAGTCCCTTCGTCTAGGTCATTTATGAAGAGGTTGAAAAGCATTGGGCCCAAGACAAAACCTTGAGTTATCTAACTGCATGCTTCCTTCCACACAGAAGTATTTTGGCAGGAGGAGAGCAAAATCAAGGTTCAAAACAGGTATATTACCTTTGCAGTATAGGGTGTTTTTTTTTTCCCTTTTAAAATCTTACAGACTTTCTCCCCCCTCCCATTGGGCCATTGATATTCCTGCTGTGGTTCTGAGAGGTCTCTTCTTTTAAAGCAGGGGTCCCCAACCCACTACTGGGCCATGGTCTATTTGGAACTGGGCTGCGCGAGAGGCGGCCTGATGGGCATGTGCATGTGCAGCTCAACTTGTGCGAGCAGCAGGCTGGCACAGATATGTGTACATGCTCATGTGCACTGCCCTAGCACTTGTGTGGCCCAATTCCCATCTTTTTCCCTCCCAGCCAGGCCGCCAAGCCTCAAAGTTTGGGGAATGATGTTTTGAAGGAAGTGCATGTTCTAGCCACAAAAAAGTTACCCACTTGCCACATCCCTCAATGGTTTATCATCTTTATTATCTCACACTTGAGAAGTAGAAACAGCCACGAGAAAATGCTGGCAATTAAATAAGTGGCAATTATGCCAGTGAAAAAGGAAGCTCCCCTATCCTGTCTCTTTCTCTCGCACCTGTACTAGGAATATGTTGTCTAAGGCCTTCCCAAATCCTGGCCTGGTTGTTGGTTTGTTTGCACAATCCTAGTGTTTAAAATTGCAAATGGCGAATAGAATTATTTGTATGTAGTTTACATGGAATTCAGCCACATGGTGGAAACCGTTTGGCAAAAACATTAGCTAAGAACATGATAAACACTTTAATGAAAATCAGGTTTTGGCCTGAAATTGGCAAAACATTTGTTTTAAAAGATAGAATGGAAAACTAATTGCATTTCTAAATTACATTTCATGTGTGGTGAGAGAGAGAAGTAAAATCCTCAATGTTATCCTTTTTGTTCTTTCTCCAGCTCGGTTTTGCAGTTGGCAATGTAGTTGGAATGTATTTGGCCCAGAACTATGATGTAAGTATTTTTGCTGCTTTTGAAATTATGTTAAAACTTGGAATTTGTGAGCATTGCAGAGCCTGTCAAACACCAGATGATTCTGAACTCCAGTTCCCATTTTTTTTTTCTAGAATGCAGTGGTCAAAAGTATCAAAGATGATGGGACTTGTTGATTTGCAATATCTGAAAGGCTATTGATTTCCTATTTTGCTATGGAACCACAATCCCGGAGCTTTAGATTTGTGTAATAAAGAGAGTCCGGATCAGCTTTCCTTTCCTTCATCCATACCTTCATTTCATTCTGTTTCTACATTAACCTCCTCTTACTTATTTGCATGAAATATTTGTGGTATATTTTGACACTTTTCCATTGAAACCTGCATTACAAGTTTCAGAATGCTATTTTTTTTCTTGAGTGTTTGTCCAAGAAGGCACCAAAGTTTGCCTATTGTTCTACTGCTACTAATTCCAACAGCCAAACTTGAAATACAGCACAGGAATAAATCAATTTGTTGTCAGTCTTGCAAAGACACTAGAGCAGTGATGGCTAATCTTTCCATCCTTGTGTGCCAAAAGTGTGCGCGCATATGTGTGCCTGCATCCATAAGGCAATGCACGTGGGGCTCCCCACACCTGCGCATGCACGCAAAACCCCCCATGTGTGCTGCACATATCTCTGCATGCATGTGCATTTCCTGCATTCACTTTGCCCCCCCCCCCCCCCCCGCGTCAGGGTAGCTACCCGATGATCAACTGCCGGGCGGGCGGTGCTCACACCCACACAGTGGACCTGCTCTGGGCGACAGCTCTCGTGCCAGCAGAAATGGCTCTGCGTGCCACTTCTGGCACGTGTGCCATAGGTTCGCCATCACGGCACTAGAGTATAGTGCAGACTAGGGAATAGGAGAAAATTCATTCCTGTACATTAGATTAGATTAGATTAGATTAGATTCAACTTTATTGTCATTGCCATGGATACAGGCAATGAAATATAGTTAGCATCCAACTAGAGTGCAAGACACCAGTAAAATATAAATATATGTATGCAAATATGCAAGGCATCTATGAATATGTCAATGGAAAACACAACAAAATGTATGTACACGAGACACAAAGATAAGTGTGACTGCACATATATGAACATATACAACTGTACAAAATGTTTATGAACACGTTGAATATAAATACAGATACACAGCGAATTATACAAAATACAGTACATTATATCATGGACCCAGAGATTACCTTGAATTGACTCTGTAAACTGCAATGGTTCTTTATATGTTTATAGGTTCCAAACATTGCAAAGAAGATTGAAGACATCAAGAAAGACGTCGAAGCTAAGAAGAAGCCTCCAAACGATAAATGATGCTGATTTAGGCATCCTACTATTCAATGTAGATGGTCTACTTTAACCATCCAGGTGTCAAACTTTATTGGCTTTAATGAATGCTGTCAGGCCTGATTTCAGAAGGCCTTAAAAAGCAATCAGGCTTAGTGTTACTATATCCACGTGGCCTCCTTGCAATATCATATATATATATATATATACATATACATACACATACACATACACAAACTGGACTTTTGTTCTCTGTATATTGCTTCAGTAATACTCTATATTTAGTAATAACAAGAGTCAGGAACAGAATGAAGATATGCCATTAATTATTCCAATCTAAAAACAACATCTAACTCTACAAATATTGGCATCTATCTGTAAGATACCAAATCTGTCTGATAAAAATGCCCATCTTGTTGCTGAAATATGACCTTTTTATTCTATTGTTGAGCATTCCTGCAACATGTATAGTCTGCATATAATCAGTAAATTGAATGTCAAAATGTTGAGCAGTTCATAGTGATGTGATATGAAGCCAATATGCTTCATCCATTGTTTGTAAAAATTGTAAAATAAAAATAAAAATTGAACAACTTAATTGAATTGTTGCAATGTATCAACAAAATGTACTCATCTTCCGATTCTTAGTTGGTATTTTTGTTTGTAATGTTTTTAAGGATTTACCATTTTGATATAACTAGGAATTGATGGAGTCTGCACTTGTATTCTGATGATGAAAACATGAAACTATGCAAACTGGCTTGAATTTTACTGTCTTGTATCTGTTGTAGCTCTTTCTTGAAACAAAGAAAGATGCATGTATTTAGAAGATGCTGGACAATATTTGCAGATATTCCATTGTCTATATAGGGGTAAGCATATCTATCATAGGCTCCCTTTAAACATTTTTGTAGCTTTCTCTGACTGATCACTCTATTAAATATTGTTAATGGAAATGCTAAAAATTGGCAATGTGAAAAAGGGCTAGTATTCATCCCAAGTTCAAGTCTCTTATTCTACCGAAACCCTTCCTTACCACAATATCAAAGTTCAGGTTTTGGCTTTCTAAGGTTTAATAATGGACTAGATAATATGCTTGTGGCCAGATGAACATAGAACCTAGAGTTCTAGTTTTATGTCATATGCTAAATGGATTACTTATATATTTTACACGAAAATTACTTGAATTTATTATTTTGTTTGTTTGTTAAACAGCAAGTTTTGGTAATCATAGGCGTGGGGTTATAACAATGCTCCTATACTATGTTGAGTATGGCTTTATGGATTAATATGTGCATTCAAAAATGTGTATGTTGTAACAAATAAATACTAAAGTATTGTGAGAAAGTTCAGATTTTAAAAAGTGTCCAATTCACAGTGATATCACTGCGAACCTTTCCCCCTTGACTTGACTTTTAGTTCTCTATGTGGATTTATATTCATCATATCAAACTTTTCTTTGTATTATCATCATACCATCACATATAGATGCAGTGTTAGGGCATCATTATCAATTGCCTTTTTTACAGAATACAAAGTATTTGGGTAAAATTGCTTGATTTCACAACCAATCTAATTTTATCAGAATTTTTTTCTTTCTCTCTTTCAGAAGCTTGTCTATATGGGTAGAGGGGAAAGTGGACTGTTGTCCCAATTGATGCAAATTTTCGGAAAGGAGGACTTTGAGAGATCAATGCTAATTTTACATGAAATAGCATGAAATGTTTCTCTAGATTGCATATTTGTTACCATTAAATCAATGGAACTGTTGCCTTAAGTCATGGTCTGCAGAGTTCAGCTTTATAATTCTGGCCATCTTCTGAAATTTACAAATAGGATTTTGAAGAATTACAAAATTCTTTCTCATGTCTGCAAAATATGAAGGTTCAAACAGTACACATGATGGTACAAAATAAAATCTGGTTATTCACTTCCATTGACAGTTGCCAGTTTTTCTTTGAATTACATTCTTTCAATCCCACTTAGCCAACACAATTTCTAGGATAGTTTTCCTGTGCAACTGATGGAAGAGATACAACTGTCTTGAATACTAAGAGTTTTAGAATAACATGAAATATTTTAATAAATTGTGCACCATGATTACTTCCCTGTATAAGACAAGGACTTCTGTTTATTTACTCAACCTCACATGCTAGGTGGGGAATTCTGGGAGTTGAAATCCACATATTTAAAAGTTGCTGAGGTTAAAAAAACACTGATCTACTTCATCTTTTCTTATAATATAATGTGTACAATTCACAAAGTATACTGATAGGTAACACACTATTTTATATCCACCTGGGTATCTACCTGTCTATCCAGGAATAAGCATATGCAAACTACATATATATATGTGTGGAGTTTGTGGAATAAAGGAATTCAACTTAGAGTAATGGTTAATTTCATACCTCTTAAACCATAATATTTGTGTATTTGAATTATGAATTTGAAGGTAAGAATTAAGGATTCAGTTATTCTGGACTATATGCAGATGTATAATTCATTTGATGTGATTGTCTGGAACTAGAAAACTCATATTTGGGGCATGTGATACAAGAAAAGTATGTTTAGGAATGTTGAGGGAAGGTAGAAACAGAAGGCAACAAATAACATGGATTGATATTAAAATTACTGCTATGTCCTTAGAAGAACAGAATTCTCACTGGAGAAAGGTCAGAGTAGCTATTCATGCTATCAAAGGTGTTGAACGTCAGTTGATCACATCAACATAATTTTATATATATAGGCCCTTAAAACAATCAAATACCATAGCATAACAATTATTACTCTGATTAGTCCTTTTAATAGCAAAAGAAATCCTTATAAGTGTTAAATATTGGCATTTGTGTATGCATCTGTTGCTGGACTTGTGTACCAAATTTTAATTTGGGAAATTTAAACTGGTACTATTCAAATTAAGTGTCCTAATTATGCAAGAAAGTTTTGTTTCTTTTTTATTTGCAAATTGTTTCCATTATGAAACTTATTTATAATCACTCTTTTTAATAATCATAAGGTATTAATTTTTTTCTTCTCTATTATTTCCAAGTAATATGATAATAATACAACTCTTGCTGCGTATTATGGCTGGGTTTATACAATATACTGAATGATGTTCTGCTTAATTGTATTTTGTTAAATTGGCTGCGGCCATGCATCATTTATTTACTATTTCAATTTATGATGGACATAATAAAGGACCAACCAAGTCTATATTGAATACATGTGTTGAAAATAATACACCACTGGCTTCCATATCACTCGGTTTAGCAGGGAAGTTCTTTTGCTGCTGTCGTTTAACAATTATTACTCTGATTAGTTCTCATTTTGGGATAAAGGACAGGCGATAATAACGTTACTGGTAATATTATTTTTCTCAGTCCTGACCTATTTTTATCTATAGTCAAGGGCATTCTAAATAGGATATAAGTTTGCAGTTAAAAGACATTAGTGATATTCTTTGCCTACATTCAGGTCTTCAGTAAGGTTAACATTTTATTTCTTTTAATTTTTTATTATTAGAGAATGAACAGCCTTTTCATGTTAGAGAATGTTGTGGAAACTCTACAGCCCAACAACACACATATACTTTAGATCAATTCATAAATTAGATTTGATAGGAGTCATTTGCTCATGATTTTTTTCAAGTTCTTTCTTATATCAAGAAAATCAAATACATAACCAGGGTGTAAGGATGGGCAAAGTTTGACAAATTTACTTGTACCTGTTGTCATTGGAGAGAGAGTGGTTGAAGAATTGGTCCTATGTTATATCTAGCCATGCCCTATTATGTGTGATGCAGATTTATTTCTTGTCTGTTCCTCCTTTTCTTTCAAATAACCAAATCCTTACAAGAAATGATTTTGAAAACTAGGGGCTTGCACAATTCAGCTAAAGAAATGCATGGCTGATGGAGATCTGAATTTGTATCTTGCCAACATTTGGCCAATATTCCAAACATTATAGCAGATGGTCATGTTGTTGGAGTTGAGTGAGAAGCAAGTACAGATACTAGCTCAGGTGCTACTGCAGTAAAGAGTCAAATACACTTTTGTGTGTTTCAGTGAGCCCCTCAGCTCTATACCTGGAAGAGACTGGTATAAATTTAATTAATAAGTAATAGCTATTGTTCAGCAGAAACCACTGAAGTCCACACTGAAGGTTCTGTTAGAAAAGCACAGTTGGCAATCAACTTTGTGGGGTGGGACACTTTTCATAGTTACAGATTTCACCCTTGAAGGTTGCAGGGGAATTGTCTGATGACAAGGCAACATCACTAGAGAGAAAGGGATGAAAAATCATATCCTTTTCTCTTTTTTTCATGGTGAGAGGAAATTTATTTTTAAGGGCAAAATGGATGTTTTGATCCAGACAAAGGTTTCTCACAGGAGTTTTGTACATTTATAGTACAAAATAAAAGCAGAGCATTTGTTTATAGGTGGTTTTTGCCACTTATATGGAAATTGTCCCTCTTCTGGTGGAAACACCTAGAAGTATAAGAGGACATTTGGTTAGCCAGTGAAATTAAACCTATCAGTCAAAGGGGCAGACAGATGTTGTAACCAGGTCACCCTCATATCCCTAGAGAAAAAGCCTTTTGCCATTCTGTTCCTTGTAGAAAGAGTGTGCTTACCTTAAAAAACAAGCAGACAAAAAAGAGAAAGGGGAAAATGTGTTTGGACATCCACACTACAATTTCTACTCACCACAAGAAGATGAATAGTTTCTAGACTTTGCTTTATTACCAAGCAATTTCTGCAACAGAAACATTTGCAATGGGAACAAAAGATGGTTATTACTTTTTCTTAGTGGAAAAAAAACATACAAAAGGCAATCAGGGTATAATTATTACAGGTTATGTATCATCTGTAATAGGATAAGAATACAGAAGCATTATGAAAATAATAAGTCTATTGTAAAGGCACTTAGTGCAGAATAAATTTGTAGGAATTCGAGCTGTCCCGTCACAGGATGTTTTAAGGGGAACATGCCTGATCCTTCCGGAGCTCAGCAAAGTCACACTGGCATATTTTTGTGAATCTTGTCCATAGTCTGCAATTCCAGCAGGGTAAAAGCAATGTTTCCAGCAAAAATGTTTCCATGAGGCAACCACAATCTTCCTTAAGCCTTGTTATCCTGAAAAGTTTCTTCATTGGGACATTGTTTAGATTTAGAATGAATGAGCTGGAAGGTACCTTGGAGGTCTTCTAGTCCAGCCCCCTGCTCAAGCAGGAGAACCGATATTATTTCAGATAAGTGACTGTCTAGAATCTTCTTAAGTGATGGAGCATCCATGATTTCTGGAGGCAAGCTGTTCCACTGGTTAATTGTCCTCACTGGTAGGAAATTTCTCCTTAATTCCAGGTTGGTTCTCTCTTTGGTTAGTTTTCAACCATTGTTTCTTGTCCTTCCCTCTGGTGCTTTGGAGAGTAATTTTCTGCACAACAGTTTCCCTTGTTCTTATGCTAAACTGTATGTAGAATAAACTGCAGGACATCTGCATTTATTAGGAGTTCTCTGAAAGTTATTCATAGATTCTTAGCTGAGGCCAGTCCTAACAATGCCTCCTTTTCTTCAAGCTGTTTCTCAGAGCTAAATAAGGACTAAGGAGCTTAAGTGCTTGTATTTACAGCTAACCAGAAATGCAGATGCTTTAAAATCCTTCTTACACTTATCAGCGGCATATTTCAGCACAGGAAAGATTCCTATTCCCCCCCCCCCCGCCGCCTGAAATTGCATTTCGAAAGCAGGTTTATCATTGCAAAAGAAATTCAGGAAGACCTCTGTATAGGGATTAAATGAGAAACCAGGCAATTTTTTTCAGTAAGAGAAAACAAATCATTAAAGTGAGTTAGTCTATTTTATGAAATGTTTAATTGTGTTTGATAATGATAATAGTGCAATACAAAAACACATTATCAAACACGGTGTCAAACTCAAGGCCTGCAGGCTGGATTCGGCCCACGGTGTGCTTAGATCTGGCCTGTGGGGCTGCTCTGGAAACAGTGAATGACTGGGCCGCGGTGCCTCTGCCAGTGAAAACAGAGCACGGGAAGGCTGGGCTCCATTTTCAGCCATGACAGTCTCCTTGCAGCCCTCTGCCAGCAAAAATGGAGGTCAGGGAGGCCATAAGGCCTCCCTAGGCTCAGTTTTCACTGACAGAGGGTTGTAGGAGGCCATCACAGCCAGAAACGGAGCCTCAATGAGTGACGACAAGCTGGCCACACCTACCATGGTTACACCCCTGTGCACACACACACACACCAGCCCCCCAAGGTCAAATACAACCCTGATGTGGCCCTCAATGAAATCAAGTTTGACACCCCTGATCAAACAGAAAAGACATCTACCCAGCAGTTTTTGTGGGGGTTTCTTCAAGTAGGATATTATGTTGAACACTTTTCTTGTGCTTTCAAGTCAGTCTTGATTACTGGCAATTGTGTCAAAGCAATTTTCTTGGCCAGATTTTGGAAATGGTTTGGAAGCAACATTGTTTGTTTCCTAAGGCTCAGCAGGAATAAACAGCCTAAGGCACCCGGTTGGCTTTGTATGTAAGGTATGGCTAAAACTCACAGTCTCCTGGTTACTATCCTGATACCTTAACCACTACACCAAACTGGCTTTTCTAATCAAAATTAGCAAAAGAAAATAAATAACGGAGAGAGATGG